TAGGATAATTTATACTTCTTGACAGATCAAATCATAAAAGGTGAAACATCATAACCAAGTGAGCAATCATCTCACCATGGAGAAAGTTCTATGTGATGATGATTAATAAATAATCAAATATCACCCAAAGATATGGGATAAAAGGATGATGGGCGTATATATGAAATCTCAAGATAGAAGTTAATAAATTAGGATTTTATGAATTCATCGTCTATGTTGATCAAATTCAACATCAATTAGTCTACACATAGATAGTTAACCCACCCCAACTAAGAGGCATTCTACTATCAACCATGAATTGCATCATCCAATTGACTCTCATGAGAATGAAAATACAAATTCCTAGATAGATGATTCTACTCAGTAAAGTCAAACTTATTTGATTAGGAATAAGTATAAAGAACATACGTCCATCCAAAATGACAATTTGTGGTTTTATTAAACTATAAATTCCATTATTGTGGTGGACATATCTTGTGGAAAGAGGTGAGGGTTAGTTTTTCAGTGTTGGACAGTCTATGAAAATTGTAGTATTGCTCAATTTTCTATATGCATGCTTATGGATTGCTACCATTATAGCAAGTCATTTTTATCTGCATGCATGGCTTTGAATGTCATAGTGCTTATGATATCTTACAGTATTTGAGGTTCTCAATTGACTACTTTGTTGGTTTTGTTTTATTTCCAAGAGATTGGGTAAAATATGTACTTCACATAGTAGATTAACGACTTAAGCTTGCATGTCCTTGGTGGTGGCTATTTGTTCATTTAATTTGGTAATATATGTATTGTGAACAATAAACTAAATAAAGGAGTATGAGATGATCAGTGAAAGCTCCAAATGATGTGTGATAAATGATGATAGTGGTGTTTGGCTGAGACTTTAGCAAGGGAAGAATATGAGGAGAATGCTTGATATTAGTTTAGATGTTGAGAATAACAATGAAGAAGGGAAAGTTTCAAAAAGAAGGTGATTTTTTATTGCTATCATTGTGTGATGATAATTATCTTTAGCACCATACAACCTTAATCAACCAAAGAAATAGGGCATTCATCCTCAAAATAACAAATTAAACAACTTGGTAAGGGCACTTGCAATTTATTCACTGAATGTAACATGCATAACCATCTTCTTTTCTTATGCAATCTATTCTATACATTGATCATTACAAATGGATGATAATATGTTACAAATATGTCGTTGTTTATAGTGGCAAAAGCAATGATGAAGCAAACTATTGAAATCCACCAAATTGTATTGAAAAAGGTTAAGCAAACTTTTTATGAAAAAAAAATCAATCAATAATTTAAGTTGTAGATAATCATATTAGAGTAATGCTTCACTCACTTATGTTAAACACAATATAAATATATAAATAATAGAAAACCTGTATATTTCAATACACTATGTATTTATTATGATCATTTCTATTATTTATACATTATTTTGATTTGCATTAACTCTTGTTGGATATGCACTTATCTATATCTCACTACTTGATTTGATGATAATAAATTTTATGTGATGAAGTATTCTAACTTGTAATTGTGTTAAAAATTTAATATATTAATATGAATCAAATTCATGATTATTTAAATGTAGAAAATATGGTAATAAGCATGCTTGGAGGTAGTGCCAATTGGAGATGGATTAAAGGTGCAATTTCATGGGGATTCAATTATATATGTCATTAATTAAGTTCAAAATCTAGGGTTATATCTTTGTATATATTTAAAATATTTATGACTATACTGTGCTCTCCTTATCTTAAAAAAATATCATCCTCCATATTTCTATATCAATATGAGAGAGTAAGCATAACACACAACCATGGAAAATCAAATTAGTTCAAAAATATCAAAATCAATAATCTATATCAATAATCACATCAAAATCAATACTGGAATTACATAAAGAACTTTAACTTAAAAAATAAATAAATAAAATAAAATCATACCAGTCATATCATCAGACACTTCAAAAGTCTCTTTCACTAATGTAACTCTAACATAACATATCCTTACCTAGGTTCACGCAATGGGCATTCTGTCATTCGATGCTTATAATCACCATAGCTAAAGCATTACCTTATTACCCTATAGTAGGGTCATGCACGTCTCCTCTCATATCAAATGTATCACATTATGGAAAGTGCTTTAACAATCTTGCTAATCTTTTTCTTGCTACTTTCACATGTTTTCTTGTAGCTCTATTCATATTATATTGTCAATTTATCACTCATCACCTAAGTAATCATATCAACAAATTTTATAATATTCTCAAATGTTGCTAAAAAGACCTTAGTACCAAGTTTTTACTTTTTTTCCTTTTTCTTTTGGGTCCATTTGGAATCAATAATGCTCTTGTTACTATCTCATTCTTCCATTAAATATTGATTTGATACCACTTTGTGAAGCCCTGAGATCTAATGTGAAAGAATTTTATTTTATTTTCTCAATTTTTGTCTTTTTTTTTTCAATTTTTTAACAACTAGATTAGTTACAACCATAGCTAATTAATTGCACTCAGGAAAAAATATAAACAATAATAAATAATAGGAAATATAATTACATTTTCATAGTCAATATTTATATTTTGATTTAGAGTTCAAAGTTCAAAAGTATACATATATAATAGCCATCACAAGCTACAAAAAATACATCTAAAACAAAAAAGAAACCAAAAGTTTTAAACTAGCATCAAACCATCATCACTGCTTAGGCTTATCGTGCATGCTATTTATCTTTACATGAATCATATAAAATCACGTAATGAGTATAAAAGTCTATTAAATAATCAAAACTTATAATTTAATTCAATGCAAGACAAAATAATCAATATGCCCACTTCAATTAAGTTAATATCAATCAACATTCAATAGTTTATCTAAGCAATAAATATCTTATAAAATTAGTATAAATTAATAGCAAAACTAATCTAACGAGTAAAATTAAAAGAGGTAATTCAACTATAAAGAAAATTGGTAAAAAAGAGTGTCAAATAATGGGATATGTCAATATGTTATGCCATATTGTATTAGTATCAATACTTGTTCGATCAATTATATAAAGTTGTATATATCAAAGCAGCTTAATGTATTATTCTATAAATGCAATTATGAATATGATTATAAAGAGCAAGGCAATACATCCTTTTTTAATATGATATTTTCATCATTCCATATGTCTGATCAATACATCATTATCGGTTAATCATATGTTTCAATTATTTTTATTAATCATTTATTTAAATATGTGAATTTCAATGAATCAATGAAGAGTATACACTCTCCGCCCGTTGGTGTAATCAGTAAAACATTTATAGGCAACAACCAGCATAGAATCACCAACATTTTATTTTAAGAAAACCTCATCGGCCTACCCTCCTACTCATGGTACTATATTTCAAGGACAACTCATATTAATTATAACATTGATAATGAACATTCCTTACTTATGCAAACGACATATTTATTTTATATCAATCTTATCATTTTCTCCATGCAAATGCAAGGCAATATCATTTATGCATGCACTAGTCTATAAAATTTAGAAAAATCTAAAAGAATCCATATACTATTCATCAACTTCAAAAAAATCATAATTTCAATTTACCCTATGAATTTCAGTAATATTTATAGTCAAAATATTCATACAATATATCTATCATACACAAAAAATTACACAATGAAAGTACGATAAATTATGAGAAATTGCATTTTTTATAAATTTGAATGAGATAATATCATTAGAAGTCGGAACCATAAAAAATAAGAGTAATAGTATAATCACTTACTTCAAGTAGAATAAATTCATAATATAAGCGACAGACGAAACTGCGTGAAGAGCTTTCTCTCTTTTCTCTCTCTCCCTTCTCTTCCTCCCCTCCTCAGCTCCTTCCCTAGCAAGAAACCGAGAAAGTGAATAGGGGAGGGCTGATTGGAGTATATATATAAATACAATTTTCTAGTGCCCAATATCGCGACGCTCCAACCCAGTGTCATAGCGCTGCATGTTCATTCCATAATTATTGTAGAACAGAGAACATCATCGCCATCACGTCGAATTCAAGCACCCAATAGCTTTTCCATAGAAGTGTCAAAATGCAGTCTTGGGCTGGCTTCGGGTCCAACCTGAAAATGATCCTTCAATATTTGACCCAACGCTAAACCGATAACAGGTCAAAATTCGAACACGAACCTGATCCTACCCTTGCCCATGATTTTTTTTTTGCTTGGTCTACTCAATTTTGCTCTTATAGCATATTAGGGGTGTAAGTGAGCTGAGCTAGCTCAAGCTCGACTCGTTTATGGGTTCGCGAGCCGAGCTTATCG